GGCCACTGTCCTGCTTCTCTGCGGCTCTCCTGCCGTCCAACCCCTCTCGCTTCTGTACATTTTCTTGAACCGTATTTGTTTTGCTTTGGATTTGGGTCCTACATGGCGGTGCTCAGGGCTCACTCCTGGCTCTGTGCTCAGGGGTCATCCCGGCAGTGCTGGGGGGGGAGGGGCAAACGGGGTGTTGAGGATTGAAGCGCGTCAGCCGAGTGGAAGGCACGTGCTCTACCCGCTGGACTATTTCTCTGACCCTCTGGATGGACTCATTGTTTTTTCTTTTTGGGTCACACCCGGCGATGCTCAGGGGTTCTTCCTGGCTCATGTACTCAGGAATTACCCCTGGTGGTGCTCAGGGGACCCTATGGGATGCTGGGAATCGAACCTGGGTTGGCTGCACACAAGGCAAATGCCCTCCCCGCTGTGCTATCGCTCCAGGCCCTGGACTCCTAATTTGAAGGAATATACTGGGAGCAGAAGGCCCAGCGGGTCACAGTCGCGTCTCCTGCCGAGCACTGCTCGAGGCCCACTGCTCCTGCTCAGAACTGTGTCCGTGGGGAGCTAGTTCTGCAAACTCAGAGGAAGCTGAGCCAACTGCACAAGATGAGCAGTTCCCGCCTCCCGGCTCCCTGCCGAGGTGCTCAAGCTGTGTGGGCTGGCACCGACCGCGGCTGGGCGGTCTCCCTTGGCACTGAGGGCGACAGTTCTCTTGATCCTGCACTGGGAGAGCCCCCATAGCCGTGGGGGTGTGTTGGGTGTGTTGAGTTGGGCAGGGTCTACGGCGGGAGCAACGGCTACGCATCACCGACGGGTGACAGTGATGACGTCAGAGAAAGACTTGGCAGCAGGTATCTCCAAATGAAAGTTGGCAACAGTGTTTTCTTCAGACAGAAGTCATAATCACTTTATTGTTCAAAATACATACGAAACAGTAAAATTAGATTTCAAGTGCTTCTCCATTTTCTCATACAAAAGTAGTCAGAAACTGCACACTTCCTAACGACTGAGGTTTTGTTGTTACATGATTCCTCTGAACCTGACGAGGACACTCACGCATTCTAAGGGGACGCAAAAATTCTGGAATCTAGGACCTCTGAGGAAGGCGACTGCAAAACGTGTGTTCTAAGTAATACAAATGGGTGCTGCCAAATTCCACGAATGGCTGGCTACCGCGTTCAAAAGCCGGAAACACAGATCTCAAAGTAATCTGAAATTTCTGTTCTACAATACGAAGTCAAAGATACTGATTTGAACAATGGCGACGTAATAATACAACACAAACTTCAGTTTAAAGGTCACCTGTGGACAATGGCTGAAAGAGACAAAGAAGCCAGATATCAAGGACCGAGTCACCCGATGTCACCTAGGAAGCGTGACGACACCGGCCTGCGAGTTTCCTGTGGGGCCACGGGCTCTGGGTGACCTCAAGCACAGGATGGCCTTTCTCTGGGGTCTGCGCCATTGTGCCCGTGATTCTCCCGTTTGGTAGAAGAATCTAATCACTTCTCCCGGTTGGAAGGGCTGATAGAAAGCTACTGCGAATGCTAACTTGGGTTGGCTGTTCTGGTTCTGAAACTACGAATGCAAGTACTCGACAGGTTGAGCTCGCGTGCCTGCGTCTTTGTACAGCGCCCTCAGAGCTATCTACACTGGCGCCTGCTGCATGCCCGGGGACGCTCGGGGCTTCTAGGGACGGCGCCGAATAAAGCCCACACCGAGAGTCAGAGGGAGACCGAACTCGCAGCTCGGACAGAGGGGGATTCTGTGGCCGAATTTTACACAACTTTAGGGATTTTTTTTCCGTGGGTCTGTTAGTTTATAGCAAAATCACAGCCAATTTCCTGTATTCTGCAGGTCGGGAAACGGAGGACAAATTGAGAGAGAGAAGGAAAAAGGAACCCAACGTACTGGACTTCCAACGCAGACGGATGCCCCGCCGATGCTCGTGGGCCACGTGCACCGTGATTCGCTCAGCTGCCAGCTTCCCCCTCCGTGGTGGCAGGACGGCGGCCGCCGACCCAGGAAGGGGCCCGTGGCTCTCAGCACCTGAGGCCGAATGGGAGCGGCAGCTCGTTTGGGAAGCAGCATTTGCGAATGAACACATGAGCATTTCTGGCAGGACAGTGGTGCCCGACTCACGGGACCCTGGGGACCGCCCTCCTGGTGGGCCGAGGGGATGGGGCTGTGCCGCTCACACAGGACGTCCGTGCGTCCTTCCGTTAAGCGTGGGCTTTGCTCGCTCTGCGCTCGGGGATCCCCCAGCCCCTGCTCCGGCCCCCGATTCTCACTTTTGGGTCTGTCACGTGACTTGCTGTGGGGCTGCTCGTGCCGGAGGGACAGGATGAAGAGAGAAAGGCCTTCCTGCTCGCGTGAGGACGCCTGGACAGGGGTGAGTGGCCAGTGTCCGCATCTGTGTCCTCGCGGTTGAGTTCCCGCAGACTGTGACCACGGCCGGGACAACTCTGGGCTCTCACGTCACTGTCCCAGGTCATGAGGATGAGATTGAACAAACCAAGGAGAAATCTTCTTAAGAAACACAAAATTCTCGCCTCCAACAGCGTGCCGGCCAGGCGCTGGGAACAGCCTTTCGCTGGGCCGGCTGTTCCCATGTCTGTCTCGGCGGGCCTTGCCAGGTTCAGATGAATCAGCCCTGAGCCACATCGCTGAGCGATTGGTATGTGCCGGGGGTGGGGTGGGGGGGCTAGGGGATTGACTCCCGCTGGGGTGGGGTGGGGGCTGACCCTGGCACGGGGTCACACCCATGTCTCTGCTGCTGCTCCCTCAGCTGCCTTGGCTCTGCCATTACCTCACCACTCCCTACCTGTTCCCAGGGGCGGTGGGGCCCTTGGCTGAAACTGTAAACACGGACTCTGCCCGTCCTCTCCGACGGCCCGCGCTACCTCAGAATGAGCCATGCAGACTGCGAGTCCCTCCCCAGCTCAGGGGGTGCTGCTGTCTCAGGAGCAGGGCTCCGTGGTCAGACCACATGGGCTGGGGCGCGGGCTCCCAGGCAGCCAGGAGTGTGGGCACCCAGGAAGCTCTGCCCTGGGGTGGGGGCCGCTGGCCTCCGAGGGACTTGCTCTGAGCTGGCTCGTGTATGGGGGTCAGTGTCCGCTGCTCTTGGGTTTCACAAACACTGAGGAGCCAAAGGACACCTGAGGGGAAGTCCCTGAACTGCCCCACTGGCTCTCCACGTTCCTGGGACCCGCGTCAGCTCAGCCCAGGGGTCTGGGTGTCCCTGCAGTGACTCACAGCTGCCCTGAAGGCCAGAGATGCAGCTGGGCTCTGGGTCCCCCCGTTTCCCAGCTTGATGCCGGGAGGGTCAAGAGTCTCGGTGTGACCCGTGAAACACCGTCCCCGCATCACCAGGGAAACCCTCCCGAAATCAGGTAAAAGACTGTCTTGGTGGGCGCCAGTGTTCCACCCGTTCGTGTCCCAGCCCCTGGTCTGATCTCGGGGAATCAGGGCGAAGAGGAAGTGAATGGAGCAGCCCCTCCCCCGGCTGTCCAAGCGCAGGGTCTTAAGGCCCACGGAGCCCACAGCCATGGCAGCCTGCCAGCAGCCCCAGGGCAGCGGGCAGGTGTGGGGAGGGCGTGGGCAGCGGCGGCACCGGAGCCACTTTCTGCTCACACCGGCCCATCTGGTAGTCACAGCCCACCAGACACTGGCTCTGCCGGGACCACGCTCGGGTCTCAGAATGAGCCCTAAGTCCTCAGTGAGGGAGCGGTGTCCACGCCAGCACACGGCCACGGGCAGGAGCGTTCACGCCAGCGCATGGTCGTGGCAGGTTTAATTGGCAGTGGCTGTGCATAGAGCCACAGGGGCCCTGTGCTGAGAAGAGATCTTGTCTCCCATGGGAGAGATCTCGTCTCCCACCCCTGGGATCCCAAGTTCCTGTGGGCTCCCGTGTCCACTCTGCAGCTGAGGACGCGCCCGGGGCCAATGCAGACCCACCGCCCAAATTCCTGTCCTCGCTCCGCCGTGCTGCTGACTCAGGGGCACGTTGTTCGGATGACCCGCACATCTGAGACAGTTCAGGAGGCTGAGGGTGAAGGTGCGAGCTCCCACCCGGCGTGCGGTGACTGGAGGAGCAGGGGCAGGTGGCCGGTCTCTCGCTCTTGTTCTCGGACGCTGGAGACAAGCTGAGCTGCTGAGGAAACCTCGTTCTGACGGTCCTGCGCTCCGGACTGGGGGGACTTCTTGCCTTTTTTGTTGCGTGGCTCTTAGTCTCCTGTCCGGCGTCCGACTGTGGCCACCGACCCGGCTGGTCTCAGGCCCGTCCCCTGCGCTGCCGGAACATCCGCAGTTTCCAACGGTCTCTGCCTCGCCGATACGCGGTGCCGGCTGGGGGCTCTGCGTCCCGTCTTGGCGTCTGCTGGTGGCCAAGGTCGAATTCTTCACGACCTACGTCTACGCCGGAGAGAAAGCTGGTCGTCCTCTCTGAGAAACCACAGGGTGTGCCCACCAGCTGGGGGCCGAGGCCTCCCGGGAGCAGCCGTGTTCGAGGAGCACTGAGGGGTTGTGTTTGGGGTCCCTGTCACGGTCTGCCATCACGGAGTCAGACTTGGCCCAGCACGGCCCCAGAAGGGGGGAGGCCGCACCCGTTGTCACAGCTTAGGGGGACGTTCTGGGAAGAGGCAGGGCCTGCCAGGGGACGGAGGGGAGACCCGAGGGACAGGGAGGGAGAAACTGCCCGGGGACCCCCGCCCCAGCCCAGCTCCGAAGGGGTTCCCAGCGCTGCCCTGTTCTCTGACAGCTGCTGAGTGACCAGCAGGGCCTGGGCCAGGGGGCACGCACACAGAGCAGAGCTGGGTCCTGCTGGCCTGTGGAGCCTGCGGCGGCGCAGGCCGCATGGGGTGGCTGTGACCTGTGCCGCTGCCGACCCATCTGGGCGGGTTTCTTGCTGTGAGCGTGTGACCTGCGTGACAGCCCTCGGGAGGGGACAAGGGCCTGGGCGGAAGCAGGCGCCTTCAGGGGGTACGGGCCAGGTGCTTCCAGTTCCGGTACAGCATGGGGAGCGGCGGAAGCAGGCGGTGGACGAGGGCGGGGGCTTCAGTCTGGGGCGTTTCCACGACCAGATGGACCCTCGCGTTCCTAGCTGGAGGCGGGCGTCAGGGCGTGGACAGGGGCCTGGGCGAAGGGCAGGAGCCTTGGCTGTCGAAGCTGGAGGCACGTCCTGGGAGCTGGGGACGAGACGGTCACCTGAGTGCGGGGGCACGTACCCAGCCTGCATCACCAAAGATGGTGACAGGCGTTCCCGGGACCCCCTCAGTGACCCGGGCACAGCCACAGCAGGGGGAGGTGGTGAGGCCTGCTGTCCACACCCCGGACAGGCCTTGGCGCCCTGCTCGCTGGGCAGCAAGACCCGGGCGGCAGATCCCTGCATGGGGGTCACCAAAGGACAGAGGCCGGGGCTGTGCGGGGCAGAGGGGAGTTCGGGCGGATGCCTCCTCCCCGGGCCCCGACGTTATCCGACCGACACTGGTGTCTGAAACAGCCAGTTCCCGCAGACAAGCTCCGAGTGGTGTCCCGGGGGTCGTCCCCCTGTGGAATGACCCGGGGCTGGGCCACGGGGACGCCCGGCTGGCTGACGGGCGAGAGCGAGGCAGGGGGTGTCTCTGCTCCAGATCGCCAAAGCAGCGAGACCCGGTCGGGTCAGCCTCTGTCGCAGCTTTGCAGCGACTCACCCGGCTCCCAAGTGACCGGAAGGCTGGCTGGCTGGTTTTCCGGCCGTCGCCCCTAGGGCCGCAGTGAGAAGGTTTCGGGTGCGGGAGGTGCTTCCGCCAAGCACTTAGCCCTGTGAGCCGGGGCCCGTCAGAGGCGGTTCAGGATTTCACCCTGCGGCTACCTTCCTCCTCCTGCCTCTCCTGCCGGGATGAAGAGTCCAAGTGTCCCCAGACACCAGCTGCACCCCGAGGCCCCTCCCTGGTCAGCCAGTGGGGTGCTGTGGGGGTCAGTGCTGAATGGAGCCAGTGACCCAGGCACACGTGGGGCTCTGATCCGCGGGCTGTGCATAGGGGGCTGGTCTGTGGTGTCTGCTCACGTGGAACACGATCCTGTGGTCTGTACTCGTATGGGTAACTGATACCAAGATCTACGCAGGTGTGAACACACTATCCCGTGGTCTTGCATGAGTCTGTGGTCTATGCATGTGTGGAGGCACCGATTCAGTGGTCTGTGCACATGTGGTCACTGAATCCCTGGTCTGGGCATGTGTGTGGACACTGACTTGTTGGTCTATGCTCATGTGGGTCACTGATCCGTGGGCTGTGCATGTGTGGGCTCACTGATTCCATGCTCTGTGCATGTGTGGGCACGTTGATTCCGTGGTCTGTGCATGTGTGAACACACTGATTCCGTGGTTTGCACTCATGGGTCACTGATTCCGTGGTCTGTGCATTTATGGGAACAATAATTCAGTGGTCTGCACATGTGTGGGCACGTTGATTCCGTGGTCTGTCTGTGCATGTGTGAACACAATGATTCCGTGGTCTGTGCATTTGTGGGCTCACTGACTCCATGGTCTGTGCATGTGTGGGCATGCTGATTCCGTGGTCTGCACTCATGTGGATCACTGATTCTGTGGGCGCTGCATGTGTGGCCACTGAATCTGTGGTCTGGGCATGTGTGCAGACACAGATCCATTGGTCTGTGCTCATGTGGGTCACGGATTCTTGCACTTGGCCCGTGCACAAGTGGGAGCTCCTGCTCCAGCCCCCGTGCAGACAAGCTGCTCTCTGCTCGTGGCTCCCAGAGGGCCGTGGGAGGGCAGCGAGTGGCTGTGCTGGAGCTCGGCTCTCGGGGTTCCCTGTGCGCAGGAATCGAGGCCCCAAGGCCTGAGGGCGGCAGTGGTGTTGGGGCAGCACAAGTGGGTCTGTTTAAGGGACAGGCAGGGAGGGACGGGACGCGCGGGGACAGTGCCCTCTCACCTCCTGCAGGTGGTGCCAGTGCGTGATGGGCTTGCGGTGGTATGCCAGCATCTCGTTCCAGTGGTCGCGCCCGAGGCCCTCGGCATCCAGCCCTGTCCTGCACACGCCGATGACCTCGTTGTGGCCAACCCTGCGAGTAGGTGCACAGATCAGCTGAGAGTGGGGCGGGGGCGGCGTGAGCGGCACTCAGACCTCATGCCCGCCCACCCCGGCCTGGAGTGCACGGCACTTGCTGGGCAGCTCCCCAGGACCCGCTGGCACTGCCAGAGGCGCCACCCAGGGCCGGGCACCCGGGGCTGGAACTCGGCCGTGTGCGTCAGGGACTGGCCCCGGGGGTGCCCTGTGCCACGCCTGGAGAGGAACCGAGGAGGCCGCCCTGGGCTGGGCCCGTCCGGAGGCGCGTACCTGTCGTAGTCCATCACGGCGATGGCGAGGCTGACCTGGTCCACGCTCTCCGGGGGGATGTCGAAGACGATGGCCTCGTTGTACACGGGGTTCAGCGTGTTGCGCTTGGTCGTGGTCTTCCTCTTCTTCAGCCGCCGGCCCTCACACATCAGCGACACCTTCACGTAGGGGTCTGGGGGCAGCACCGCGGGGTCAGCCACACCTGGGGCCACGCCCTCGGGCTGCCGTGGAACTTCAGGGAGGTGGCTGGGAGATGGGGTGTGGGCCGGCCCTCCCCCGTACCTGAGGCGCCCGTGATGTCCATGGCCTTCAGGTTCCGGCACTTGATGACGGTCAGTGTCATGCGGCCCGCCGTGGGCAGGTAGCACAGGGAGAACATGATCTCCCCCAGGTCCACGCTCTCCTGCAGGGACAGGCACGGAGTGGCCCCACACTCACCTGACTGCCCCCCAGACCTGTGGCCTCAGGCCCCGCCAGCCCTGTGTGCATTCTGCCGTCCACGTGGGGCTCAAAAGCAGGTCTGGCCGCCTGCCACGTGTGATGACCATTGTGCTGTGTCCCAAGTTTGGGTGGACGCCCACAGCTCCCAGCTGGCCTCAGCTGGGCGAGGGAAGTGCCAACAGCACTTGTGCAGCTGGCCGGGCCCTGCCGTCTCTTTGCCGGGGTGCAGGAAAGTGGCTGTCCGGGCCCACGCAGCAGGGGACTCGGACAGTGGCTCTGGTGGTGCCTGTCCCTGTGTGCACTGGGGGACACGGGTGGGGGCTGGGAGAGGAGGGTCACAGTGACGGGCGTCACCTCCATGCTGTTCCCCACCAGAGCCGTGAAGCTGCCACCCACTTCCCGCCACGAGCTTCCTGCCACGCCGCACTCCACCACATGCTCCCCCCCACGTGGCCACTTCCCGTGGCTCCTTTCCTCTACCCCCTGTCTCTGTCTCATGCACAAGGTGCCACAATTTAGGGGGGAGCCCCAGCGTCACAAACAGAGAGAAATTGAGGACTTCAAATCGGAGGTCGTGCAGGCATGCCGGGTTAGGGAGGCCAGTGTGGACGCTTCCTCTCTGCTGCCTGTCCTCTCGTTCCGGCCAGTTCCCATCCTCCTGCCTCTCTCCTGTGTTCGGGGCATTGGCGCCCACTTTGCTTCCTAACAAGCCCAGCGGAACGACCAGACGCGGTAATGTGGCCGCCAACTTCTCGACCACGACTTTTCAGACCGTCTTGCTGAGCTTCCCGGACGCCCCACTTAACGCTATGTGTGGCTGTCGGCTGGACGAGGGCCAGAGCTGGTGGCCAGATGCCAGTGAGGAGGCAGGCACCGGGTCTTTGCTGAGGACACAGCTGGGTGCCTTTCCCCTCCTGTGAGACCAGCGGGTGCCCCTGCCCGGGCTGTCGCTCTGCCCGAGTCAGTGAGACCAACTTTGAAACGGGCCCAGTGAACACGGGGACGGCTGCACACCAATGACTCAGAGACATCCGGAGACAGAAAGACTTCACGGCTACAGAAACTTGAGTAGTATGCAGAGGAATCCACCCTTCAGGCTAGCCTGGGGCAGGGGCCCTGGTGCTGTGCTCCCTGGGGCGTGGGAGGGCTCCCGTGGCTTCCCTTACTCTGGGTGGCCTAAAGTCGCCAGGAGGGGGCCCTGGGTTTCATGAAGACCCCTTGGAGCCCCCACACCGGAAAGCCCAGGGAGCTAAACCTGCCGACTCATGCTCCAGCCTGGCCGTCGAGGCACACGGCATTAGTCCCTGTCTCCTGTTGGCCGGGAGAAGCTCTCCTGGGCCAGGTGCCGTCCGGGCACCCCTGCTCTCCTTGGGGAGAGTCAGGATTCCACTGGAGGCCCTGCTGGGACGAAATCCTCAGCAGAGTATCCCAAAGACCGTCCCCCTTATCACTCGCTCCCACTCAGGACCCGCTGGCGGCTGATGGAATATCCATCCCTCTGTGGGACGCCTTGAGCGAATGGCTTTTGCTTCAGCCAGGAGGGTTCTGGGCAGTCAGTGCCGACTTTTCCCGTTCGACATCTGGCCACGTGTTGGCACTTGCTAGCACACAGCACATTAGTCTGCAGGAGAGCCAAGGGCACCAGCTGCAGAGGCAGGAACCCGCAGCCCCGGGGAACCCGCATTGTTTGTGCCCTCTGGTGTGTGTATGTGTGTGCAGACATGCACTCTGGTGGGGAGGCGTCCGGGCCGGTGCTGGGGGCCGGGGAGCAGGAGGGATGGGGCGATTGTTTCCTAAAGCTTGGAGAGGAGAGAGGGACGGCCTCAGTCACCCAATCCTGCCACATCCCCTCGTCTACACTGGCGGGCACACCCCACCTACGTGGTGGGCCTTCTTGTCCATGCTAGCGGGCTCACCTGTCTACACTGCAGGGCTAGACCTCACCTGGTCTGCGGCATGAGCCCGTGCAAACAGTGTGCCGGCCCACCAGTGGTGAGAAGCCAGGACACGGGCATGTCCTGCGACACGCGGAGGCTCGGGAAGTGGCCGGCCCGGAGGAGCGAGGCAGATGGCCCCGGGACACTGGAACAGTCTCCCCATCTTGGAATAATCTCTGCTTCAGACCTGCAAACCTCAAGCTCATAGATCAAGGCACTCGGAGGCTAAAACATCAACACTTCCACTTAAAAAGCATCAACGCTTCTGCTTAGAAAGCAAACCTCTGAGGCTCAGGCCTGCAACCTGCGTGGCCTGTCTCCAACCCCACCACTTCTCCGATTCTACCCTGGCAACGTATGTTGAGTCAAAGATCCCAGGCTTACGCGGAAAAAAAAAAAAGGGAAAAATAACAGGTATTGGTTTTGTGGGAGGCCACACCTGGAGTTGCTCAGGGCTTACTCCTGGTGAGTCTTGGGGGACCCTGTCGGGTTCCGGGGATTAAATCCGGGTCTGTGTCATGCAGGGCAAGCACCTTACTCACTGCACTGTTTCTCTGGCTCCAAGAACAGCAGTTTAAAAATAAACATTTCTGACTAATTCAAGTACCCAGTGGTTAGGAACGAGACCAGAGATTTAAGTATCATGCACCAAAAGAACGAGAAAGAGATGGTGTGAAATTCTAAGTGAATCAAAGCATAGTTATTTTAAAACATGCAACCAGAAAGTGCCAGAATTACGTGCCACTGACAGCACTGTAGACGGAACTCGTTTTCAAAAGCTGTCTTTGTTGGGCCACACCTGGCGATGCTCAGGGCTCACTCCTGGCTCTGTGCTCGGGAAACACGCCTGGCGGGGTCTGGGGACCCTATGTGGTCCCCGAAATCGCAGTCACCCAGGTGGGCTGTGAGCAAGGCCAGGGCCCACCTGCTGTCTCTGGCCAGAACAGACACTTCTGAAAACCAGAACAGAGTCTGCTGCCAACCACGGCGCATCGCTCAGCCCCGGAGCAGGGAACTGCGTGTCTGGGGCCCCCGAGGGTGGCGGCCGGTTCTCCACCTGCCCTAGAACTTTCCCCAGCAGCGCTGAGGCGCGTCCTCGGCGGCCCCGCCTCCCCGCCGGCCCGGCTCACCGTGGTCGCCCCGTGGATGTCCTTCCACACCGAGGCCTCCCGGGACAGGTCCGAGGCCTCGAACAGGTTCTCGAGCACCACCTCCCCGATCATGTCGTGCCGGGAGAAGCGGTCGAAGTCGTAGACGCTGAAGTGCAGCTTCCGCTGGCTCAGCTGCCCGTAGGCCACGGGGAACCGGAAGGTCTCGTCGAACTGCGGGTTCAGGGTCTTCCTGTGCACGCGCGTCTGGAACTTCCTCTTCCTGTCGGGCAGCAGGTACATCTTCACGTAGGGGTCGGACGTGCCCGCGAGGTCCTTGGCCGGCAGGTCCAGCGCCTGGATCACGCGCACGAGCAGCAGCTGGCCCTCGTAGTCGTACCGCAGCGCGAAGTGGAGCTTCCCGCACGTCTCGGCCGCGCCCAGCCCCGGGCCCTCCGAGTCCACCGACTTCTGCTTGTACAGCTCGGGCTTGATCCTGCCGATGCTCGTGGTGGTCTCCCCGCGCTGCAGCGGCGCCGGCTCTGTGCCCGAGCTGAGGTCCACGCTGCACACCTGCATCTGCCGGGGCAGGTGCCGCCTGAAAGAGTTGTGGCTGCGCGGGAACAGACACGCGCACATGTACACACGCATGCGCGCACACAAGGCTCACACGCACACGCGCGCACAAGACACACGCGCACACACACATCCATACATGTGCGTGCAGACATGTACACACGTGTACAATGGCACACGTGTGCACGTGCGCACGCACATACGTGTCCATGCAGACGTGTACACACGTGTACAATGACACGCGTGTACACGCATACATGCACGCAGACACGTACACATGTGTACAATGGCACACACGTGTACACACATGCATGCACGTACACGTGTGCAATGGCACACGTGCATACATGTGCACACACATGCATGCAGACATGGACACATGTGCATGATGGCACACATGTATATGCGTGCATAGGTATGCACACAGGCATACACATGAACACAGACACATGCACACACGGATACGCGTGCATATACATGTGCACAAGGCATGCACATTGTGGCACACGTACACATGTACACACGGTGCAGATGTGCAATATACACACATGTGCACACACAGTACAACACATCCATGCATACACAACATACATGCACTTGTGTGTACAGACAGGGCACTCACGTGCAAGAAACACACACACACACAGACACAGGATCATTAGCCCGGTGCCTGGTGTGCTGTGCTCCGCAGAGAGCTCCCCCCACCCCGGGTCCGGGGGAATCGCCAACCTGTAACGCACACGCACACAGAGCTGCGCCAGGAACCAGAGTCCCTCAGGCCCTGGAAAGCTGACGCCACCTGAGACATGACACGGATCTCCCTGGCCCCGACTACGGGCCACCGAGGCGCCTGGCAGACTCCCAGCCCTTGGCCTGGGCTGCAGGACTCAGCTGGGCTCCCACACTCAGCTGGCACCTCCCGGCTGGTCCCACAGATGGGAGCACCAGGACTGAGTCTCCTCATCCCTGGCACTGGGGCGACTTGGGAGCTTGTGCCGGGGGGAGGGCCTGTGGGGGGATGGTGTCGTCCGCCTCTCTGTCTGTCTGCTGCAGGAACTTGGGCCCACGAGGTGGAAGGTTCTAGCTCTGGGCAGGGCGTGGCTGAGTCCTGGCACTGCACCCACCATCACCGTGGTGTGAGAGGCAGCGTCTGCTCGCACCAGGCCGGGCCTCCTACCGTCCGATACAAGCCAGGGCCTGGAGATGCTGCCTCCAGGCTGGCTGCCTGGCTGTACACTGCTGTCTGCTAGGCCCTGCTGCATGGATGGTCCCTTCCTGGACGACCTTGTCCTCGAGCCTGGTGGCTCCCGAGAGGCTGTAGGTACACCGGTCCCTTCCCTAAGCCTCAGCACTGACATTATGGCCCCTGGTGTCCCCATCTCAGAAGCCGTGGCCGTCCCCTGCAGACCCACAGACCCCGCCCCACCCCCCCACGTCTGCACACTCACTCTGGGCTTGCTGGCTTCAGGGCCAGCACTGACCCCTGCGCGGACTCACTCCGTAAACCCTGCTGGGGGTTGGCTTGGAAGACACTGGGTGTGTTCAGCTGGGGACCCTGGCCCAGGGCGCACCACTGTGGGGGTCTGCCCGCTGTACCGGCCCCCAGGACCGAGGGCTTGGATGGTCCCTGCCCGCGGCCCAGAGCCATCCGTGGCGGGCACAGCCATCCTGCGGGGCTGATGGCAGCGTGGCCAAGGGCAGTGGCTGGCCTGGGCGGCTCCTCCCCCTGGGCACTGTCTGCTTCCCTGCACGGTTTCGCTCCCCTCAGGCCCCGGCTGGGCCTCCCCCTTTCTCCTCTCAGACCCCTTTCGTCCGGCAAGACCAGGCCCATGTCCTGTGGCTGAATCAAACCCGTGTGGGTCGCCGCTGCCTCGAAGCCTTGGCCTGTGTCCTCACCATGGGGCAGTGCCCACCCACCCTCCAGTTCCCGGCCTCAGCTGCAAAGGCCGAGGGGTCCCGGGGCCAGCTGCTCCACGCACCCTGGCCACTCACCCCCACCCCACGTCCCCCCTGGAAGGGCCTTAGGCTACGGCAGGAGGGTCAGCCCCACAGGGTCAGACACAGGCCTGTCCGGCTCACAAGCCGGGGACCCTGGGCCCTGTCTGGGCAGGGGCTGCCGACCAGGACTGGCCCCCTGGGCGAACGAGGCCAGCGACACTGCTGGGCCAGCCTGTCCAACACCCACCCGGGACACCGCTTCTCTGCGGCTTTTCACGATAAACGGGCGGCAGCACGGCTGTCAGCGGCAATACCGTCGGGCTGAGCTCCTGCTAAATGCTATCCTCACACACGAGTGCAGTTCTGGAGGGAGACTCTGAGGCCGGGCTCAGAGCGGCAGCGCCGTCCCGGGGCGGAGACCATCGAAGAGCGGCAGAGGCCGTGGGGTCCCCACGAGTGCCGACGGGGCTCCCGGGAGCCCCCGACAGTCTGTGTTCCCAGAGATTTAGGATATTTCATCATGTGCCCGTTCTGCACAACCATTTTCGATTTAAGTCTTTCGTGCAAAGCCCCAGGGAGCGAAGCCCCTTCTCAGAAGCGTCCAGAACGTGATATTCCACTTCAAACGTGCCAACACTCCGGCCCGCCGCCCTTGCCTGGGATCTGAGCTTTGGGAAGCCCTGGCCAGCAGGAGCCGGACGTTCTGCTCAGGAGAACGCTGGCCACGGCAGGCCCCCAAGAGCCCAGAGCAGAGTGAAGAGCCACAGTGCCAGCCATCGCCACGGCAACCCCATCTCACTCGGCAACCGCGGCCCAAGGGGCTGGTCTGTCTGCTGACCACCTGCAGCCCAGGGTCGGCCCAGGGGACAGTCCTGTCCACCTGCCTCGAGTAGGGTAGGATCTGCCCTCCCGGTCAGAGGGGGGAGGCTGCAGGGGCCCTGGGGTACTGGCCAGAGGGGGAGTCTTTCTGATTCCTCTGCCCCTGTGGGCACTGGCCCGGAGTCCTTCACTCCCTCCGGCTCCTGGCCAGACCCGGCCCCTGCCCTGCCCACACACTGTCTCCTGGGGCCCCTGCACCAGCCACCTGAGGCCGGCAGTGGCCACGATGGCCGTTGGCACCCTCGGGACCCGACTCCTCCTGGGTGTCTGGGCCAGCTGACCTCACCTCTCTGCTCCGGCTCTTCCCCCTGCTCCTGCCCAAGCTCAGACACTCCCGGCAAGACCAAAGGCCCCAGAGACATAAACTTCCCGTCCAAGATGCCCAGCCCACCCCATCTGTCAAGCCCACCCCACAAGCCCCTCCAACCTACACAGCCATGCCCGCACATCCCTCTGGGACACGTGTCACCGTCTTCCCCTGGGACACGCATGACCCACTTTCCTCTGAGACATGTGTCATCTGCTTTCCTCTCTGAGTCATGTATTATCCACCTTCCCCTGGGACACGCATGAGCTGCCTTCCTCTGGAACACGTGTGATCCCCAGACGCTTCCTGGGATCGAGAGAAGCTTTTCTGTTCCATTCGGCCCCCACTGGCGCAGGGCACCCGGGCACACGCTGTCCTGGAGGCCAGCTCTGGGCTCAGTTCTGCAGCCCAGACCTGGGTCCTTGTCCCCAGGGCCCGTCCACCTGTGCGCAGCCTCAGGGCTCTCCTTGGGCCCCGGAATGTTCTGTGAGTCACCGAGCACCGAGGTCTGAGACTCCTAAACGGGACGTTGGTGGCGTCATGCCTGGTCACTGCGGGGCCTGTGGGCAGCAGCGAGACGGGCTGACCACACAAAACCATCGCAGAGTCCTTAGTTTAAGGAAGGTCATCTGAAGGGCAGTGGGTGACGATGAGTAAGTGTCCAGAGGCAAGCCTTTGCTCATCTCAGGCCGTGGGACGAGACATTCCCTTACGGTGGCTGAGGGCCGGGGGCACGTGACCAGGGCTGAGCTTCCACCCAACTGAAACCACCAAAACTAAAACAGGCTGAGTGACAAGCTACAGCGGCCAGAAACACGTGGTGGGCAGGACCCAACTCCCAGGCCAGCCGGCTGCGGAGGCCACCAGCCCTGACCACAGCCTGGGCTCCCCAGCCCCGACCATGGTGTGAGTCCCCGCCGTGGCCACGGGGATGGCCCAGGCGCCTGGCCGGGGCCGCTGTTGCCGTGGCTGCTCACCCTCGTGCTCCTCCGTGTCCTGCACCACCCGCCCGGGCTGAGCCCGTCTCCTCTCCCGGGGCGCCTCCTCTCAGGGGCCTGCGGACACGCACACACGCACCTCCACACACGCGCTCACACATGTGCGGGGCCGCGCTCACCGGGACGAGGACGTGGGCTCCGTGGTCTGCCGCTGCACGCGCGCATGCCGGATCAGGTGCTCCTTGAGCGCCGTCTGCACCTCGGCCGGGATGTCGGGGGACGTGTGGCTGATCTTGATGGCCGGCTCGGGCGCCCTCGGCTCCACCGCCCCCGCCTCCTCGGGGGCCTCCTTCTTCTCCTCCTCCGGGTCCGGCGCCTCGGTGGGTGTGCTCGGGGGCACGGGCCCCGCGGGGGCCGCCAGGGGCTTGCTCCTCCAGCAGGGCCAGCACAGCTTCCAGAAGACGAACAGGGAGACCAGCAGCAGGGACAGCCCGCAGAAGCTGACCACCACGGCCAGCAGGCTGACGGAGATGTCTGCGGGACGGGACGGGGGGGGGGGGGGGGCGTGAGCCGGGAGAAGCTTCTCTGCACGCCGCCCGGGGAGCTGAGCGGGGAGCTGCGGGGGTCTGATTTGGGGCCTGGGGGACCATGGTCTGCCTGCCGCATGTGTGCGGGATGGCCTGTGCCCCCGCAGCACCCTTGCTCCAGGGGCGCAACCTTCTCTCCCTCCAAGCTGCCCTCACTCGGGCTTGACCCGCCGTCCCCTGCTCCGGTGGGGCCCGGGTCCACCCACAGGCAAGTGAGACGCCGCGGCTCCTTCTCCACAGCACCTGCAGGCGGGTGGGCACAGCCACACGCCCGCGGGCACGGAGAAGCCCCTCGCCATGAGGCCCCTCTACTCAAGGCTGCTGTCCACCCCTGACGGCCGTGTAAGAGGGTCCCCAGGGCGCTTGCTGCTGACCACAGGCTCAGGAGGTGAGGGGAGCTGCCTGTCCAGCTGCCCGCACACGTGGGCCCGAGGGCAGCAGCTATGGGGGGCTGGTGACGGCTGGGGAAACTGAGGCACAGTGATCTCAGCTCAGCAAGGCCTCACCCATGGGTACTGCAGGCCCTGGGCAGAGGACCTGGATATCACTCCTGCCACTGTTTAGGGCTCTGGGGATGCGCTGCGTGGACAGAGCACGCACGCGTGTGTGTATCTGTGTGTTGTGACTGTGCGTGTGTATCTCTGTGCGTGTGTGTGACTATGTGTGTGTATCTCTGTGCATGTTGACTGCGTGTGTGTGACTGTGCGTGTGTCTGTGTAACTCTGTGTGTGTGTGAATCTCTGCGCGTGTGTGTATCTCTGTGTATGCGACTGCGTGTGTGTGTGACTGTGCACGTGTGATTGTGTATCTCTATGTGTGTGTGTACCTCTGTGCGTGTGACTGTGTATCTGTGTGTGTATCTCTGCATGTTTGATTGCATGTGTATCTCTGCGTGAGTGTGTGACTGTATGTCTCGATGTATCTGTGTGTGACTATATGTGTCTCTGCACGTGCGTGTTTCTGTGTGAATCTGTGTGTATCTCACTGTGTATCTCTGTGTGTGTGTGACTATGCGTGTGACTGTGTATATCTCTGTGCATGTGCGTGTGACTGTGTATCTCTGTGCGTGTGTGACTGTGTGTATCTCTGCGTGTGACTGTGTGTGTATCTCTGTGTGAATCTCAGTGTGTATCTCTGTGCGCGTGTGTGACTGTGTGTGTATCTCTGTGCGTGTGTGTATCTCTGTGCATCTGTGTGACTGCGTGTGTGTATCTGTGTGTGTGTGTGATTTGCGTGGTGTATATGCGTGTGTGATTGTGTATCTCTGTGCATGTGTGTATCTGTGTGTATCTCTGTGTGTGCTTGTGACTATGTGTATCTCTGTGCGTGTGAGACTGTGTGTGTGAGACAGTGTGTATCTCTGTGCGTGTGTGACTGTGTTTCTCTGTGCTTGTGCGTGTGACTGTGTATCTCTGTATTTCTGTGCGTGTGTGTATCTCTGTGTGTGTGTTTGACTGTGTGTGTATCTCTGTGTGAGTGTGTGACTGTATGTCTCGGTGTATCTGTGTGTGACTATATGTATCTCTGCGTGTGCGTGTGACTGTGTGCATCTCTGTGCGTGTGTCTGTGACTGTGTGTGTGTCCGTTGTGTGTATTTCCTTGTGGACACCGTGGGCTACAGCTGCCCCTCGTGGCTGTGGCCCTGCTCGGGCTCCAGGGAGCGGCATGGGGGTCTCTGTGGGAGGCATCGCGGCTGGAGCAGGCACACCCAGCAGAGGCAGGTGGCACGGGAAGTGCTCGGGGCAAAGGGCCCGTCCGTGTCTAGGTGGGGATGGGGTCAGGGGATGGGGGGTCAGGGGCTCACGGGGGTGCAGGGAGGAGCCGCCCAGGGGGACGGGCGGGGGGAGTGGGTGCTGTAGCCAGGCCGCGACGACGGGGCCAGGCAGGGCCTGGAGCCACGTGGGCCAAGTGGGCAGAGGTGCCAGTCCCGGCGGGGGGGGGCGGTTTGTCCCACTCAAAGATGCGAGTGGCCCCCCCAGGCCTAGACTCTCACACTCTGGGTGGTGCTGAGAGTAGGTGCCGGCTCCCTCTGCCCGCCGGGTGGGGAGGGTCAGCTCGCACGCACGGCAGGGCTGGGTCAGGGGCTCGGGGACCCTTGCTCCCGGGAGCTGGTGGCCGGCTCTGGGGGGACAACCCACTCGGGAGGGGGCTGCTCTCACCTCTCAGCCCCCGAGAGACTCCCCGACAAACCCACGTCAGAGGCCCCCAGGGGTCTCCTGCCCCCGCCCCGCCCCGTCCTGTCTGGCTCCTGGTCCTGTCTGGCCCAGCCTGGCGGGGAGTGCGGTGAGCGTCTGGGGAGCATCAGGGATGTCGGACCCGGCCCATCCTCCTTCTCCTGTGCGGCGTGTTGTCTCATCCTGTGACACGGCTGCTTCAGACCCTCCCCAGGGCCGGCCCGGGCAAGGGGCCACGAGGAGACGTCGTGCGGGAGAGGGGCCCTGCAGGGGAAAGGGGGGCCCAGAGGGGACAGGGAGGGGCCCTGGCCACCCGCTGTGAGGGGCAGATGGTGACCGACTGTCCCTAGCCGCCTGCAGGAGCCGCCCTGGGCGTCTGCCCGGAGTCCCTGGGAAGGGCAGAAACGAGGTTGCTGCAGGATAATCAGGCTGAAACTCCTCGGCTCCAGTCTGATTCCACACAAGCCGGGGATGGCGTGAGTGTCCCCGGGGATGGCGTGAGTGTCCCCGACTGTCTCCCCCGGACGCCGCAGCCACCCCAGACCACGCACTCAGGGCACAGGCGGATGCGTCCGACATGGGCAGAAACTTCTAGAGCATCACTCTTCACATTCCAGCTCACCGCGGGGAGGGGCAGTGCTGGGTCTCCTCACCCCAGAAACCCTCCCCTGTCCAGGGCGCCCCACCGTGACTGAAGCCGACAGACAGGCGTCCCTCCCTCAGAGCCGACGATCGCTTTACGAAGGGCGCGAGGAGAGACCCCCCTAGGGCAGCAGCACACGCAAGTGACCCACTCTGCGGCTGGACTGGGTCCTGGGCCCCGCCTGGCCACGCACCCCAGGCCCATTCCCTGGAGCGAGGGCCTTGTGCGCTGTTCCCCTACAGGAGCACTGGACGGATGCACAGACAGACAGACGGACAACTGAGTCTCGGGAGGCATTTCCCGGCAGCCAGCCCCACACATCACGAGGATGGACCCGGGCTCCTGTGGGCATCTGTGTTCCACCGTCAGCCTGTGCTGGGCTCCTGGCAGGGCCTTTTCCAACCCCGACGGGCGAGTGAAGGAACCCCCGCCCTCCAAGAGCCTCCGGTCTCCTGGTTCCATCAATACCATCCGCAGAATCAACGCAGACCGGGAGGAACACGATTCTGTTTCGAGAGACAAATCACTGCCGTTGGAAACCCCGGTAAGCAAACCACAGGAATGCCCTCCTCCTGCCGGAGCCCTGCACAGAAACCCTCGGTGAATGATCCGAGATGCGGCCACGGCATGTCTGCAAAGTTACACCGTGGGACAACCCTAAACAACACAGGACACAGGTGAGGGACAATGAGACAAAGTGAGGAGAGGCAGATTTCAGGGCAGGCATGCCCGGGAGAGCTGATGTGAGTGGTGAGAGAAACCGAGGGCGGGGGCCTGAGCCCCCGCACGTCTGGAGGGAAGAGGAGCCGACACCTGAGCCCTGGGCAGTGTCTGGGGGCCCTGCGGAGGAAGCCAGGTCAGAGGGGCCTCGTTCGTCCCCAGCTCTGGCCTCTCCTGCCCGGTGGCCCGGGGAAAGCCCTGTCTGTGTCAAGCGCTCCACAGTGTGAGAGGCAGAGCCCCGGTGGGCACTCGGCCAAGTGAGCACTCACTCTGGAGAGAGACGAAGGGGCCCACGCCCGGCCCCTCATGCCAGGCGCTCAGGCGCACGTCAAGCAGGGTAGCTGTCGCCCCACCCGACGGGACAAGCAGCTGGGGACCGTCTGCCACACCCCACCCATCCCACGAGGGAAAGGCAGGGATTTGTTTAGATTTTTGTAGTCAGATTTTCAGTCTCAAATGAAAGCTGGGAGGAAATGCAGAACTAGAAGCCTGATGACTTAGAGCTTAAATACTTAAGCGGAAGTTAAACAAGAAATCGTGGCAAGCCGGTGAACTAGCAGGGCCCGCGATCACCCCTCAGGTCTGCATTCAGGAAACCCTGGTTCCCTAAACCTTGAGGGGGGGCATGTGACCTAAGGCTGGCGGGATCCCAGAAGCTGGTCCCGGGGGCCCTGACGTGGCCTGGGCTCTGGGTGGTGGTGCCCAGGGCCCTGACCTCGCCTCTGCAGAACGTCCCGGCTTTCAACCCGCTGTCCAGAGATGGGGCCCGAGGGACAGACTGGGGGCTCGGGCACAGGGCTGGAAGGCTGCAGGGTCGGTGGGCGCTGGGAGGGGCCACAACCACGCTGCAGGGCATGGGGTGAGGGCCGGGCGCCGGGCAGGGGCAGGGGTAAGGACAAGGCGGGGGGCGCTGCTGGCTGGGGTCTCTGGGACAGCCATCAGCCCACAGCCCGGGCCCCCACACTCACTCGGGGCCATCCCGGGTCCCAGACCCTCCACAGGGGCCCTGCTCAGGTTAAACCGAGTCCCCATGTGACCGCCAGGTTCCCAGGGGACAATCCCGAGGAGGTAGAGCCACTGTCTGGGGCAGAGGCCCTGGACGCTCTCCTGCCTCGGGGTCCCTGTCCGGCCAGCCTGGGCTTGGGAGACACCCCTGGGTGTGTGTGCCTGAGGGGTGGGGAGCGGCCCCCTGTCCCCCGGATGTCCTGCAGCAGACCCCGGCCCTCGCCCAGCCCCTCCCCCGCCGGCTTCCGAGGTCGACAGCAGCTGGGGCAGGGGGCGCTGGGCTGTGGCGTCCACGGGGCCGGGTCTGTCTAAACGCGCGACCCCGCGCCGGGCCGTCTGTCCCCGTGTCCCCGCGTGTCCCCGCCCGGCCGCCGGCGCCGCTGCTCCGCACCTGTTGCCTGGCGACCTCCGCCTCGGCCCGCGCGCGGCCGGGCGCCGGGACCCCGCAGGGCGCAGGGCTCGGCCGGCCTCTGGCTCGGCACGGGCCCCGCGCCCGGCGCGACCACCACGTGCGTGGGAGCCGCTCTGCGCGGCCCGCGGGACCCCCGCACCGCCACAGGTGGCCGCGCTCCCCGGGGCGCAGGGCCAGGAGCGGGGGGCGCGGGGCAGGGGCGCGGGGCGCGTCTGGGGCGCGCGTCCAGGCGCAGAGTCGGGCGCAGGTTGAGGTGCGGGCCGGGGCCGGGCCGCGCGTTTGGAGCGGGGTCCCGGCGCGGGTCGGGGTCGGGGCGCGTCTGGGGCGCGCGCGTGGGGTGCGGGCCGGGCCGGGCCGGGGCGCGGGGTCCCGCGCGGGTCGGGCCGGGCGCGCTCACCTGTGCCGCCGGGCCCGGCGCGCTCGGGCGGGAAGATGCCGGCGCAGCGCTCCCACTCCACCTGGCCGGCGAAGCAGAGCTCGGTGACGATGTGCAGCGCCTTCTGGCACAGGCTGCTCACGCCGTCCTCGCGCCGCAAACTCATGGTGGCGCCGCGCTAGCCGCAGGCCGGCCCCGGGGCGCCCGCACCCATCGCCCGGGGCGCCGACCCTCGGGCGCGGAGCCGGCCGGCGCGGCGCGACCCTCTCGGGCGCCGAGTGCGCGGGCCGCGGGCGGCGGGTGCGGGGCTGCGGGCCCGGCGCGCGCGGCCAATCGGAGCCGCGCGCGGGAGTGCGGGGGGCGCGCGGGGCGGGGGGACGCGAGGCCCCGCCCCGCGCGGCCCCTCCGAGCGCCGCCGACCCGCCGGCCCGCCGGCCGCGGGGCCGACCCGGAAAGTTGCCCGGGAGAGGGGGGCGGGGGCGCGCGGACCCCGCGGGCGGCGGCCGGTCCGGCTCGCCCCGACCCGGCCCCGTCTGGCGCCCCTGCCCCTTCCCCAGCCCCTCGGTTCCTCGCCCTCCCGCGCGCCGGGGTCCTGGCGGCCCGGGGTGGGGGCACCTGGGACCCCGGGGAGGGGAGCGCGCTGGCGGTGGGCTCGGGGCGGGAACTCAGCTCTGAGTAAACCCCGTCAAGGAGGCGCCTTGGCGAGAAGATGCGCGACGCCAGGACGAGCAGCCCCGGCTGGCCCGGCCGGGACCGGGGACCGAGGACCGGGACCGTCCGTCGCCCCTCTGCGCCCCGGGGGCCGTCTGGGGCTGCCCTCTGCCCGGGCTATTTAGGGCCGCGCCGGAAGGAGCCCCCGCTAGGTGCGCGCTCGGTAGCTGAATCATTGACCTGATTCATAGGACAATGGGCCTATCAGGGTCCTATTTTTATCCGAATTAAGACGCTCAGACCCGCAGGCGTCCTCTCCTCCTCTCGGCGCGGACTGGGTGGGCTTCAGGTCTCCGTGACTCCAGAGACGCTCTGGACGCTCCCCTTTCCCCGCGGGCTGTGGGGGCGGGTGAGTAATCCTCGAACCCGGGCTGCGACTGCTTTGGCAAGGGCGGGCTCAGCCGCTTCTGCCTCATTTCTCTGTTAAGCCGGTTAAGCGAATACGAGGGAACGAACAGCTCCTGGGGCTCCCGGCCGGGCGTCTCTGAGCAGCCGCGGGTCCGTCGCGTGTGCTCCCGCTTCCATCTGAGCGGGCTGCTGTGTGGACGGAGGGGCTTCCTTCCCTCTAGACATCACACAGCGCCCTAGGGTGACGCTGGAGCGTCTGTGGGGACGGGGAACACTCAGGGACCCTGGAGAAGTACAGGGCGAGGCTCTTGCCTCCTGGTCCACCCCCGCCCCTCAGAGACTCCTGAGCAGGGCTCAGTGGCCTCGAAGTAGCAGCTGCAACCTCTCAGCTTCCGTGCAGAAGGTGGTCAGCCTTAACCTCTCCTGGGCCTCGAGCTGTGGGCAGTGGGGCTGCCTCAACCCCTGTGGGCCCCAGCTACTGAGCACCCTGCCCGTGCCCACCCTCAGGGCACAGCGAACAGACACTGGCCAGGACCTGCTCAGCCACCTGGTCATGCCTGCAGGGCGGCAGAATGGGTGAGCCCTGGGTCCCGGGGGAACATTTGGAACCTTCCGTGCTGATGCTCAGCCCCCGCCCAGGGGTTCCTGAGTCCCCCCTACTTCCTTGGCAGAACCGGAGAGGGAAGTGTGTGCCCTCACCCGGCGCCCGGAGTCAGGCAGGCGTTTTGTCCACTGCACGACCCCGGAGGAGACAGCAGCAGCTGTGCCGCCAGGGGCAGTGGGCTCGGGACTTGCTGCCCGGCTCACCCTAGCTCGGAGAGGGCGCTCTTGGCCCTGCGGGTGCTGCTGCCCTGGTGGAGTCCGGCCTCTCGTCTTTGGAGGCTTCCTGCACGCTCAGCGGGACACAGGCTCAGCTTGGGCCCTTGTGAGGGGCCTCTGCCACCCACTCAGCCTCCCCGTCGTCTATGGCCCTGGGGTCACTGCGGAAGGGCCGCTTTCCTCTGCCGTCCCTGCGGCTGTGCCCACTGCCCGCTGCCCGGACCCTAATCCTGACTGTCTCTGCATCTGCCTGCTGACCACGTCCGTGTCCGAGCCGCAGGACTCAGAGGCCCTGGGGGCTGAGCTCTCCACTCCCGCTGGGCCGGCTGGACACGGGGTGGGATGGACACAGGGTGGAGCTGGCTCTGGTGGTGGAGCTGGCACGGAAACCTTAGGAACTTGGAGTTTCCATCTGCCTGGCTCCGGGTCCGAGTCTTCCTTGCTCACTGCTCTGTCTTTGTCTATGCTTCTCCCATCTGATGAGCCTGGACCCTCTGTCCCGTCCACTCGCAGTCCAGGCACTGCCTCCCTCTCTCCCTCCCTCCCTTCCCTTGGGCACACAGGGGCCGCCTCTGCGTCTCTGCGCTGGGCTCCCCGAGGCTCCTGCCTGTGGTGGTAACGGGGCTGCCAGGCGCTCGCGCTCACACTTCATCCCTTCAGCCTGTGGCTGTGCGGCCCGGGGCCCTCACCATCACCACGCACCGTGTTGATGCAGAAACTTCTGGACGTGATGGACTTGAGCAGCGCTGACCGGGGGCTTCCCGCCGATGCGAATCCCATGTCTGGGTCTCCCATGTGTCTGTGTGGCTTCTTGTGACTCTCCTTTCCGATACCCCTGAGCTGTTTCTCCCTGAAGCAGCGTGAGGAGCACTTCTGGGGCAGCCCCGAGCCCACAGTCCAAGGGGAAGTTTGTGTGCAAATCCCAGTGATGAGAATGTCTCACAAGCCACCGCTGGCATTCCCTCTCCTAGCAGATTCCTACGACGAACCTGCGGTGAAGGACGCTGAGTGAGATGTGCTCATCTTTCTAACCAAGTTCTGTTCTGGAAAAGAGCTGCCTTAGGAAGGATTGCTCTGAGTTGATGGGTTCGAGCGGGTTCTAGTCCCTGGCCCACTTTCCCGGGAGAGATGGTGAGACAGGGTCCCCTGCAGAGACAGACCCGGGGGTCCAACAGAGGCTCCGGGGTTGTGGCTTGAGCCGAACGTGATAAATGACTTCGTCGTGATAATAATTATCCTCTAATAATTTCGATTTGTCAGCTTCTGCCCAAGCAGTTGTAATATTTTTGGCTCTAGACACAGAAGAGTAAGGGCTTCCCAAACTCTATTTCCACACAGAACGATGCCCTTTGGGACTGTGACATGATCAGGTATCTTCCAGTCTTGCGTTCTGACGATTAAACCTTGAATAAGGAACCAAATGGACTTAGTGGTTTCATGATACAGCACCTGGACACACGGGGTGGATGGGAGATATGGGGTCCAGGCACCCTGACCAATCCTGGTGCAGTCCCCCAGAGGAGAGCCGGACAGGGCTGTCCACGCCTGCCCACCAGCTCTGGGGTGCCTCCGTGGAAAGGGGGAGGCTTCCAGTAGGAAAGATGTGGAACTGTCTCTTTGCAGATGACAGTGTTTTGTAGGTAGGCGAATCCGAAAGATTCCAGTTTGTGAGAGTACATGAGGTCACAGCAAATGAGCGACAGTTAAGACAGTTAAGTGAGAGTTTACTAGCAGAGAGCCATCCAAAACCAAATCGAGTGGTTACAGTGACTTTAAACAGAATCAGGCCATGAGGAAGAAAATCAAGGCCAAAGAGCATGCAGGCACATGCCGTGCACACAGCTGAGCCGAGTTCGATCCCCAGAACCCAGATGGTCCCCAAGTTTGCCAGGAGTGATCCCTGAGCACAGAGCCAGGAGTAAGCCCTGAGCACTGCTGAGCATGGCCCCAAAATCAAAAGAAAAGGAAAAAGATTAACAAGATTTAAACCTCAGAAATCATAAAATGTTGGTTGAATGTAAAGTTCTTAATAAATAGTATTGCATATTTATGAATTTTTTTTAAAAAGTTCTTTTGGGGCTTGAGTGATAGTACAGCGGGGAGGGCGTTTGCCTTGCATGCGGCCAACCCGGGTTCGATTCCCGGCACCCCAGCTGGTTCTCCAGGCCAGGAGTGATCCCTGAGCACAGATCTAGGAGTAAGCCCTGAGCAGTGGCCCAAAATAATCATTAAAAAATTCTCCTAGATTTAATGGCATCCACGCAAACTTCCAACTTTGCCTGCCGTCCCCCGAAACAGTCCTGGGTTTCCCAGGGAATGCCAAGCTCTCGGAATAAACAGACCCGGAGATCCAACCTCCATCTTCAAACCCACCTCCTGGGCCTCCAGGATCCAGCTGGCGAGGAGGGACCCCCTCCCCTCACTCACTGCCTGAGGGTTTCAGTGCCACGGCCAGCTCGGTCTCCACATGCTAAGCAACGGAATCAGTACAGCCGGGGCTCAGAGCCGGGAGCTGGCGTGGAAGCTGCTAGAACACAGACCAGCAGTGGCCTGGGCGTGGCGACTTCTCAGTCATGCACCGGAGCCTCAACTGGAAAAATAAAAACAAACTGAGCTTCAAGAAAATCAAAACTCTTATGTTTCAAAGAAACCGTCCCCGAAGTGAAAAGGCCACCCACACGTTTGGAAGAAACCCTGCCAAACATGTCTATGAAAAGGACTTTGCTCTCGAAAATAGAAAGAACTCCCCCAAGCCAGGCGAGGGAACAGATGGCCCCGTTAGACACCTGGGCCGGGGGCTTTGATGTATATTTCAGCTGTTCTCCGAGAAGACATTGAAGCAGTCGGTCCATTTACCACGGTGCCCCGGCCGCGTTCCCAGTCGGAGCCAAACACCGGCATCCCCGGGGGACACCCATGCCCCTCCCTGCCCGGGGCTGGTTCTGGGCCTCGAGGTGTGGCCCCTGGAAAGCAGTTTGGGGTTTCTGCCAGAGCCCACGATCCACGGAACCTTCCGGTGGACTGAACTGTCCCCAGATGTACACCTGTGGCCTGGTGCTTGCAGCCCTATGGGGCTTCAGCGTGGAGTCCCCGTCGGGACCAGATAGTGGCCAGATGGACACGGACAGAGACGGGGAGGGGGGGCTCATGACAGAGACGGGTCTCTCAGTTTCCCACGGGCACCAGCGTGTCCCGACTGAGTTTGTCCGTTTTCCTCCCACGGTTGTTCAGGAGTCTTGGTGGGGGCTTTCTGGTGAAACGTGGCACAGGAACGGGGGTGGGGACAGCCTCAGGAGCGGGGCCTGGGCTGACCTGAGGAGTGTGAGACGTGTGAGAGGTGAGAGTGTGAGACG